CAAACATAATACAAAATTGTTTATTTTACCATATTTTAATAAAGGTTAAATCTATAATTGGGTATTATTTATGGAAGTCTGCTGAAGACAAACAGAGTTTTCTGATGGAAAAAATATTGATTTTTGAGAATTCTATACAATTTCTACGAAAAGTTGTTTTCCCCCATATAAAATGCATGGAAAACTTTGAGCGCTTTGAGCGACGTCTAAATATTTTTTGACTTCACAAAAAAAAAAAAAAAAAAAACTACAAAAAAAAAATCGACTTTACTTTTTTTCTTGGACCACCCTAATGTACATACATGCATAGGATGGCATCTCTATAAATAATTTAAAACTTGATAGTACTGAAAGCGCAAAATATTACCCGATAGTTGTTGAAATGTTTGTTTGTATAGCTACTAACTAATTGTTGCTCCTGTGCAGTTATGCAAGTTATTCTAACTGTAACTGAAAAGTGGTTGGTTGACTTGTGCAGAAGATAGAAATATGTTCACAGATATAAAAAAATAATAATTAAAAATCGTACGAAGTTATGAAATGTATGATAGATCGTTATTTCGATTCATCAAAGAGTGAGACATTCATCAATTTAATGAGGCCATGACCACAGTTTTTTCGGATGCACATTGAGTACCTTGACAAGAGCAAATCGATCAAAGGCGAATATTGTTCAGAGATTTTGAGCAGATTCGATATTGATTTGAAACAAAAAAAGGACTATATTACACTGAGCCAAAAGCACAATGGTTTCTTCAACCAAGTTATTGTGTGTTTTTTTTTTCATGGTCAATAAGCCGATTGTAAGGAATGTGAATAATTGAGAACAAATTCGTACGTATGGCAGTGGCTGAACGTACAAAGGTGCTTGCTGTTATTTATTGGCTTCCAGCAGTACGAGTGCCATCAGCGCGATACACAATAGGGGTATTCTCTGAGTCTTGCAAAGCCCTTGCATGGTGCACAGATTGCACGGATTGCACGTTAAAAACCGGTTTTCGTATGGGACAGCTTTGCAAACCGTGCAATCCGTGCACCGTGCAAGGGCTTTGCAAGACTCAGAGAATACCCCTAATGTTGATATTTTTTTCTGTTTTTGTTTTTTCTTAATTACGAAAAAGCCTCTGTGAAGTGCAGAACCAAATCAAACGGCGAAGAAAATTTATTCAAGACACATTTATAAAGCGGCTGTAGCCGAGTGTGTACAGATGCCTGCTGTAATTTGCTAATCCCGTCAGAGGCAACATGTTAAAATGATAATACAAATTTTTGTTATGTATCTCCGAATTATGAAAAAGCATCTGGTGAAGTGCAGAACACAAAATCAATGACTGGGCGGTACGAGATTTGGGTCGAATGTAGAGCTCATCATCTTGGAGATCCTTTGAAAAACTAATTATTTGGAAGGAATTAAAACATATTTGAAAGGAAAAACGCCACACAAAAGGTATCGAGCTAAAAGGAGACTGTGCTGAGAAATAAAACGCTCTGTTGCCGAAAAATATATATACCTTTTATACAAAAAGTCACTGAATTTTCAAATTGCCCTCGTATCTGAACGAAAATTCCAAAAGCGAACTCACAAAAATCCCTTCCAGTGACGGAATTTAAACTCAACTTGTATAAAAAATTATATTCCCGAAGAGGTAATTTGGGAATTTAAAATACCTGAATTATCTCCATTATCACTGTAGTAGGTAAACTGGTCTTTCAGAATAAGTTATTTTTTTTTTTTTGTGCGCAAATTTCTAAAAGAGATCTATCCATCTTGGGATGCCCAACTGACACAACGTTTTTGGCCAAAATGACGTAGTCGAACCGAAAATTTATAGGTGTTTGTTAAGTGGGTTGAAGAGCGCAATTGAAATGCTCATTGCGGAAACTTTCATATGTGGGACAATATGTATATGTATGTACTATATGTTGGATAAGTCAGTGTCGAGTATATGTAGATAAGTAGGAGTTTAACCCGCTAAAATAACGAGACCATAAATGTGGTAGAGTAACGCGGGTATCTCTAGGCAACTGATGCTTTTCCTCTCCATTGAGTGATGGTTGGACTTTGAGTTACGATGAATCATAATTCGGCTGTTAAGTTCCTGCGGAAGAGAACAGTAATCAATGTCTTCTATATAGTAGCATGGGGTGATGTACGATGTCTTAAGATGTCGACAAGTCCAAGGGGCGATTTCGATTAAGGCCACGAGTTACCTAAGTGTTAATTGTATTAAGGGTCATTTGCACTAGAGATAGGCACGAGACTAAGTATTCAATCCGAATCCCGACAATTCATAAATTCAATTTTTAAGTCCCGAACCCGTTCATCTCGACGTTTTTTTTTAATTTTATCGTGGTATTCAGTCGTTGTGTTTAAACGGAGCTTTTACTTCCAAATTATGCTAACCGGACATTGAACAAACGGTCCTAAGTGCTAAGTGGTAGGTCACCAGTTGCTTTGTTGGCTAAGTCCTCACGTGTCTAAACCACTGGGGAGATGAGTGTTACCAGTCCATAAGATTGCCATATGTTACCAGGGATTATTCGATATCATCAGCACTTTTTGAAGCTTCATAGCTAAAGAAATCATAACCAGCTTAGCATTAAGAACATATCTTCAGAAATACCTGAGCAAACACTCTCCTTAAGGATTATTCTAACACCAGCGTACAAATATCTTTACCAAAAGATTTGGCGTGATCGAAGTTTTTCATTTCTCTTAATTGATAATTACCTGGGTGATGCCAAAGACAGGGCCAAGAGGACACCAACCTGAACATAGCCTTTCTCAAACTCCGCTAGTTCATGTTGTAAGATATATGTTTGCATATATTCCAAATAAATGACAATGACTTACTTTATTCTATTCTGTATATTCTATATTGTAGGTAATTTTTAGTTTTGGGAAGTATCGAGTTCATTTGAGGATCGAGATTCTTTAAAAATATGCATACACATGTTGGTAACCATGCTTTTCAATGCTTACTGTAGAAATTTCTTAAGCTGGCTACACATTATTCAAATAAATATATTAATCCCGAATTACGCCAAATGAATGGGTAGTTGTACTCAGTATAAACAATGTACTTGAAAATCATTGAAATTTGAAATAGAGTACAATCATTTCTAAATACCGATAAATGTAAATAGAACAATAGAAATCAGTAGTGTTAAGTATCTATTCGACACTTAATACTGAGTACTTTGAATCGATCTTGAATACATTTATAAGAATGATGATTGGAACAGAGTGTTTTTGAGTACTGAGTACTTTCGAGTTCTTTTGTGAGTACTGAGTACTCAGTATCGATACTTTCAAATTCGGGTACTGTCGATCTTTTTGTGAATCGAGTTCTGAGTACTTTTGGTATCGATACTGCTCAACTTTAGTAATTTTGGCTTCTTGTGTGTGTGTGTGTTTTTTTTTACAAGTATTCACATATCAGTGTGGTCCTTAAAATATGAACATCTTATTTTGGTATGTGGCAACCCCTTTATTTTGTTCCACGAAAATTTCAAAATGTTAAACAAATTTTTAGGGTTTGGAAAAACTAAAATTATTTAAAAAAAAAAAAACGTCAAAATTCTGCAAAATTTTTACTTGAAATCTGATAAATTTGAAATATTATTGAAACTTATTCATATATGTAAATTCATAAACTCGTTGAGTTGTAGTGGGCAAAATCGAGATGTTGTCAAATTTTTATGACTTTAAAAAAGTTTTCATTTTTTCATACTCTGTTAGTTAACCTTACTAACCTCGAATATGACCATAATGCACCCAAAGTTTTTTGTGGAGATTTTCTTTTACATATGTTTAGTTAATATTCATCGCAAGTATGAACCAAATCGGACTATATGTATGTATATACGGAGTTTTCATATACCTCTACTGCGCCACCTAGCCGGTTAGCCGGTTAATTCATCTTTCATATTGCATGAAATAGGGTTCTGAGCGAAATTTTATGTTTAAAGTCTCTACCTACACGGGAATTTATTTAGAAATTGATGCAAGATTCTGGCCAAACATAAATAAATACTTATGTACATAGCAAGCTAAAAAAAAAAGCTTGTAAAATAAACAGTTCTTGGCCTACAAAAAAACTATTTAATGTTAATCACATTCGTCAATATTTCCATAACGGTTCATGAGCCATGCTACAACCTTAATGCTTTCGATAGGCATCTTTATGTGCTTTATGCATATAGAACATTGAATTTCACCATGAAATCATCTTTACACATTCTCTACTCATCAACAAAATAATTAATATCAGTGTTACATTGAATTTCTAGAATAAATAAAAAAATTAGTAAAACAGCTAATATTTGTCTATACAGTTATTTAAGCTGATGTGCCTCACTTAACAAGTCGTCTCTTCATGCAATCGAATTCGAGCCGAGCTTGACAAATTAGAAAAGTAACTACACATTTTTTTCTTTATTAGCTTCTACATAGTAGTAGTGTACATACATACTATTAATTTGAATAAATACATATTTACCTTTTAATATTTAGTAGGTAGTTTGCCAAGTAAATTAACGTTGAGCAACGAACATTGTACAAATAAAAATGCCTACATATGTACCTTTCCGCCTGCTTAGGTACAATACCCAACAAGCAAAATAAATTTAAAGAAAGTTTTTTTTTAAGTTTTCAATTATAAACATTAAGCTTACAAAACGTTGA